TCGGCGTGCACGACACCGCGACGCCCCCAGGCCACGAGGCCCAGAGAGCCGCGGCCTTCCCCCCCCTCGAGGAGGATGCAAATGATAATCTTTGTTCACGGAGTGAGGGAGGGAACACCATGCTCAGGACCTGAGCGCCTCGCCTTTGTGCCCTTACTTTGTATCTTCGGCTCCAAACTCTTGTGGATCCTGCTGAAATAATTCTCCCGTGAAGGAGGAAGGAGGAGAGAGGAGGGAGGTAGGGAGGGAGTAGGAGGCCCTCCTCCTTCCCCCTCGCTTCCTTCTCCCTCCTCCTCCATCCCCTCCTCCCTTCCTCCTCCTCCTCCTCCTGACCCTCCTCGCCTTCCTTCTCTCCACCAGACGAAGGAGGGAGGAGGAGGAGGAGGAGGAGGAGGAGGAGGAGGAGAAGGAGGAGGAGGAGGAGGAGGAGGAGGAGGAGGAGGAGGAGGAGGAGGAGGAGGAGGAGGAGGAGGAGGAGGAGGAGGAGGAGGAGGAGGAGGAGGAGGAGGAGGAGGAGGAGGAGGAGGAGGAAGAGGGACAAGAGGAGGGAAGCAGGAGGAGCAGGCGGAGGAGCAGGAGGAGGATCCTCTCGGATGGCCTCTTTGGGGGCCTAATGGGACGTCATGGGTGTCTCTTGGGGCTCCCTTTGGGGCTTTTCGGGCCGTCTGGGGGACATCTTGGAGGGTGTCAATCAAAGAGGAGAGGGTGGCTCTAATTGGCACCGCCCCCCCAAGAGGCCCAGAGTGGCCCCAAACCTACGATACCATTGTTTTTTTGTGTGCCTGCTCGCGGAGGTCTTTTTGGACGCTCTGTCCCCTCACGATCCCCCCCGTCCACACCCAGGGCGAGGGTGTGAGGGGACGGGTAAACCCCTTCTCCGAACGGGAAGAACGGGAAAGATAGAATAGGTACTTTTCTAATCCACCTCAGTCCAGAGGGCTGGTGGGATTTCCGTTGAACCCCCTGCGCGAACCCCTGTGACAAGCAGGGGACATGATCATACACGCAGTACCCCACGCTCAGCGGTAAGTGTGAGGGGGTGGCGGCACGGGCGAATCGCCCCCAAGTGTAGCTTCCAAGTGTTGTTCCCATGAGTGTAGCCCCCGAGTGTAGCCCCCAGAGGCTGGGCCCTCCATCCACCCACGCGCGCGCGCATGGAGAAGGTCAGACCGTACGGGCCCCTTAAATCTGACCTTTGCCCAGTCCCCCTGTGAGATCCCTCCCTTGAGATCCATTTTGGCCGGCAGGGGGAGATGACCAGATATCATGTAGACCCCGAGGGAGAACCTTTGTAGCAGGCATAGGGTAAATGAACAGATATCCATAGGAAGCTGTTCCCTCCTGTTCACGCTTCCTCCTTCTCCGACCCAGGGGAACAGCCACGACGCAGAGTCAGGGGACCAGGGATCGGACACATGAGAACTGGTGACTTGGGGATCAGGCATCGGGGACCGGAAACTGGCACCCTGGGGCAGGAGACCCGGACCAGGACCAGGTATCGAAGATTCGGACAGGGGACTGGTGACACTGAGGACCAGGACGGTGACGTCGGGAATCGGACCAGGGAGCTCCTCGGGAGCAGGGGTACCCTTTTTAGTTCTGACACAAGGGCAAATTCTTGACCCAGGACCCGCTCTCGCGCATCATGGGGGAACCAGTGCATGACGGTGCCGCTGCCCTCTTCCCGTGCTGCTGGATGCCTTGGCCATTGGCCCTAATCAGTCGGATTAACACCCGCATCCTTTGGGCCCCTTTCTTTTGGATGGAACCAGTGCTCATGGGCTCGCTCCGCCTCGGCGGCGCGCACAAGGAGGTGCCGCGAGGGGGGTGGCCTCCTGAGGGGGCGGGGCAGCTCCTCAGAAGCCGTGGGCCCTCTTGGCAGGGCCCAGAGCCTTCTGCTTACGAAGGCTCCCGAGAAGACCCTGGGCCCTTCTATGAAGCCCCCCGCCTTCCTAAGAAGCCCCCCCGCCCTCTTGAATGGCCACTCCCCCCCCGCTCCTAGCCCTCGTGCGCACCGCCGAGCCTCCCCTCCTCGTCCTCTCCCTCCTCGTGCCTCCGCCGCTGGGCAGGCCCTGCTGGAGCCGACCACCAGCAAGGTCGTCTGGGAGTGGGTCCAGCTGCCGGAGCAGCCGCCGAGGCGGCCCCGCCTTCCCCCCCCCCCTCCCTTCGCCCTCTCCGTCCCTGCCTTCGGGCTTCCTGCTCCATCCGTCCTCCTTCTTCCTTCCCCTCCTGCTTCTCCTCCCTCGTCTTCGTCGACCTCCTCCTCCTCCTCTTCCTCCTCCCGCTCACGCCAGATCTGGCGCAGGAGGCCCCCGAGGGAGGAGGAGTGGGGTCGGCGGAGGAATGGGAGACGCCGCCGTCGTCGGCCGTCCCTGGTCCCTCGGCGATCGCCCCGTGGAGCAGGACCGCCCGCCATCCCCCGCCCTCCCCCTCGGACAGTTCCGATTCATTTTGTGTGCGCGCGTGGCACGTGCGCGTGCGCACGCATGCTTCTGTGTGCAAGTGTACCGTTGACGTAAAGTCGTCCTTTCTGTGCCCGAGGTCTGCTCGTGATTCACTTGCTCGCCCTTGGCTTGTATCTCTTGTATCTCCTCCTCCTCCTTCTTCGCCTTTCTGGTCCCCCTCTTCTTATTCCTCCTCCTTCTCTTCCTTCGCCCTCGCTTCGACTTCTCCGCCCCCTCATCCGCTTTCTCGTCGTTTCCTGCCCCTGCTCCCGCCAGGCGCCACGAGGCTCTCAGTTGGCCTGCGCGCTGGTATGCACTCCAGCAGTGATGCTGCTCCCTCGCTCTTCAGGTCCCCGCCCGATCGCCGATGCGCTTTGCGCCCAGTGGGCCTCTATTCAGAGTGGACTGCTACATGCGCCGCAAGGTCTTGACCAGGCTGGTCAAAGTCCTTCTTTTGCAGGGCAATCTTGGAAGTTCGGAGAGATACACGGACGAGTGGCGGGTGGTTTCCCCAAAGCGGTTCTCGCATCAGCGCCCCAGACGTGCGTCTCCAAAGCTCGGGCTCCAGCACGTGGCCCCGGTTTCGCAGGGACGGGTCTGTGTTTGGCCTGACTCGGGCTGGCCCTGCGCCGCCTCCCCCTCCCAAGCCGCTCGCGGGCCTCTGGGAACACGAGCCATGGCCCTCGCAGTCACGGCGCCAGGCTCGTCGGCTCCGCCTGGCCAGGCTGGGCCTCCAGCAGCCTCACGAGCGGCAGGTGGCCGTGCGTACGGTCTCTCCGATTGCGGAGGCGGGCGCGGCGCAGCATGCCTCTGCTCCTGGAGGCGGGCTTGAGGCGGCCTCCCGGCCGAGGCCTCGAGGGCCTGCACGCCATCTTGGGGCCCAGGATGTCCCAGTGTGTGCTCCGAATCTCACATGGAAGTGGGGGGTGGGGTCAGATTTTTGGGAGGGGTTCTGGCTTGAGCCGTCTTGGAGGGTTCCACGGGGTCTGCCTTTGATGGCTCGTCTGAGGGGTGGTGTCTCCCTCCCCCTCCCCCTCCTCTCCCCTCCCCTCCCCTCCAGCCTCCGCGTTGGCTTGGCCAGGGGCCGTCCTTTTGGCGCTGGAGACGGCTTCTTTCGCGTTGTGGCGGGTGCTCTGTCCTTTCGGAGGTCCCCAAGGCCTGTTACTTGGAGCCTGGAGCGGCCTCTGAGTCTGGTCGGGGTCCACAGTTTTCCGGCCTCGGTGCGCTGAGTGGGATCCTTTGCGGGCCACGCATATGTTGTGCGACTTGTGAGTCCGGCTTTTCCCAACGGCTGGGGCCTCCGTCGAAGGGGCACTCATATGAGGGCGTCTCGAGGATGGTCTTACATGAGTGGCACTCATATGAGGGCGTCTCAACACGCATAGTAAGGATTAATCACTTTCCGATGCTACCCTTGCATCCTTGCCCCGTCGGCCCATCCTTAGCGACTTTCGCGGGCCAACCTCGTTCGAAAGACTTTGACATGGCCCCCCAACGCCCGTGCGTCCTCACCGCGCATCCTTATAATACGGGTTGATTGTAAGTCTTAGGGAAGCTCTGGACTTCCTCTTCGAGGGCAAGCAAAGGCTTCAAGACCAGCAGGTTCTTCTACGTTTTGTGCTCGGAACAAAGCGGCGGGCAGTGGAGGGTCTCGCACGGGGTGCTGTTGGGGGACATGGTGATATCTCCACGGCTGTTACAGTGTTATCTCCCTGCACGAGTCGCATTCGCTGGCGGTCGTCTTCGCTTGACCGTCTCTCCGGCGAAGACGACCGCGCCGAAGTCGTCCGCTGGCGAAGACGACCTGCCCCCTCCCTCTCGGGTCGGACGAGTGGGGGGTATTGGGAAACGTGTGGTCTACTTTACACTGACGCCTTTGGCGCCAGGCGGCGCCAGGAAGACCAGCCCCTCTTGTGCTATTCCCTCCCTTCTTGTCAGCCCCGACCCTCCCTCCTGGTGTGCCTCGCCACCAGCGGCAGAATCCCCCCTGCCCCCTATCTCTCTCCGACCTGCTCCCTCTCCCTCCCCGCCTCCCTCCCCTCCCTCTCTCCAGCCTGCCCCCTCCATCCCTGGACGTAGTGAAACCTGTAGTGCCAGTGGGCTTCGTGTCTGGTCAGGGACCTCGTTGCCTGACCAGGGGTGTTCCCACGTCGTTGAGTCTAGCTCGGCCCCACGGGTGTGTTGCAGCCATTCTGTCGCAAGGACCTTCTCCTCCCGCTCCTGCTTTCCAGGACACTTCACCAGCTTTGTTTGGCTGCGCCCTCTTGCGCGCGTTGTGCTTGTCAGCTCGGCCTCATGGCCATTTTTTGCCGCCCTTGGGCGGCCTTGATGCTGGGAGCTGAGACTGGGCGTCAGCCAATGAAATCCCCGCCGCCCTTCGACCAGCCCCTCCCTCCCTCCGACTCGCCCCCTCCCCTCCTCCGTCCTTCCCTTTCTCCCTCCTTCCACTCGCCCTCCCTCCCTCCCTCGCTCGCTCTCCCCCTCCCTCCCTCCCTCCCTCCCTCCCTCCTTCCTCTCTCCCTCCGACCGGCCCCCCGCCCTCGCCGCCCGGGGGAGGCAGACCTTCCTCCGCTGCACCTGGCTCCTCCCGGTGCACGTGGCCTGCTCCGCCGGCGAGGTGCAGGCGGGCCGCCCGCGCCGCTCCGCTCGGGGGCCCTGCGGGGGGGGGAGAAGCAGGGACCCCCAGTCGAGGGGAGAGCATGGAGCCCAGGGGAGGTCCCAGAGAGCCGACGCTCCAGAAAGATTTGGAGCGGGCGGTGTGTGGCTGCTTTTTCCACCTCCAGGAGCCCTCACCGGGCCCCGAGACCGTTCAAAGCCGACTCGGGATGAAAAACCGGTCCTGGGGAAGCGGTCCAGACCTCCCGGGCCACGCATCGGAAAAATTGGAGCAGCCGGATGTCTGGGGTTCGGGTAGGGGATCGTTTACAGAATTGATTTACCACAAAATGGATCTTTCTCGTCGAATCCAGGGAACATGCGTAGAAGCTGTGGTAGATGCATGAACATTTTATGTACTCCTCTACAGATTCGACGTGACAGTTTATTTCAGGATCAGTCAACTCTATAGTCGATCCCCTACTCGAGGAATGGTGGGGCTGGCCCACGGGGGGGAGCAGCATGGCCCAGGTGGGGCGGGGGCCAGCCTCCTGCGCCTCCTGGAGTCCTGAGGCCCCTCGGGAGGTCCCAGGAGGCCTCTGGAGGTCGTCGCCGTCGTCGTCGGCGCCCCCGCGTGTCGGAGGAGCGAAGAGGATGCATCCAGGGGCGACGTGAGGGCGGATCGCCTCATGGGGTGAGGGAGGCGTCCCCCATCGCCCATTCGTCGCCGATCGGGGCCTGGGGGTGTCGCTTTGGGGGTCCTGTCGCCGATCCGTCGGCAAGGTACCACCAATTTGACCACTTTGGACTCTTCGCGCACGCCCACCGGCCCATCCGGCGGCGATGCCCCCAGGGAGTTGCCTTGATGAGGGCGGGTGGTGACCATCGACCTTCCATCGCCGATTTGTCGCCGATCGGGGCCTGGGTGCCCCGTTCCCGCCCAGGCGTGCGGTGCCGCGATCGGGGGCCTATCGCCGATCCGTCGGCAAGGTATCGCCAATCCCAGGTCGATGTTTCGACCCCTGAGCTGTCCCCCAAATCGTTCCTCCTCACGACCGTCGTCGCCGCCGCTCCTCCTCCTCCTCCTCCTCCTCCTCCTCCTCCTCCTCCTCCTCCTCCTCCTCCTCCCCCTCTTGTTTCTCCTCTTTCTCCTCGTCCTGCTCCTCCTCCTCCTCCCTCTGCCTCTCAGGGCCCTCCAGCTTTCGTGTCCAATCGTCGGGGACTTCAGTTTCCCATCTGCCACCCTTGCTCGTAGCGATTTCATCATCTCCATCGGGGTCGGATCGTCACGGGAGGGCTCACGACCACTTGCACTGCCAGCAAGACATGCTTTCTCATTGACTTTGTAGTTGCGAGTAACAGCTGTTTAGCTCACATTCTCAATGTAAAACCTGTCGTTCAGGTGCCCTGGAAAATTCACGTCGAATTGCAGGTCTGAATTCGGGGATCTGGGTCTCAGTTACTTGTGCGTGCTCTGGGCCTCCCAGCGCGATTACCACAGGTGTCCTGTTCCAAAGCGGCGAGCACCCCTTGGCTCGAAGGCATCACGGGCTCGTGAGGAGGAACATGAGCGTAGGCAGCGTGTTCACGAGAGACATTCGCGAGTGCAGGAGTCTCCTTCTGGGGAGGAGCACGCCGAAACGGCAACTTAACTGCCGACGATGCTGCTGCTCAGTGTGAGTTGGCCTCGGAGGAGGACGAGGAATCGTCCTCATCCGAGGCCAACTCATCCTCATCCGAGGCCAACTCACCTTAGGAAATCCTCGAATCATATTTCGGACATCCTTTTCAGGACGAGGACATCCTTAGTGATCTTTTCCGGGTCGCCCTTGGGGAAGACGAGGACCCGTGGGCGCATGAGTCCGACTCTGGGCATGGGCCCGGGGAGGCTCCTGCTGAACCCACGAGGGGCCCCACCTTGACCTCTTCTCTCAAGTCGGGCATGCCCCTCTACGGGAGGAGTATTCAAGAATAGTAAAAAATAGCCAGGTGACGATTTCTCGTGCTCTTCTGTTCTTCTTTTTTCTTACAAGATCAGCCTGTAGGAGGACATGCCTGACTCAACTCTTTTCCTTCCTCTTCTCCCTTTGTGTCTCACTCATCCAGGCCGACCTCTTCCCGGTCTCACATAGTCTCGAGGTCAAAGTATGGAGAGACATCGCCCACACACCCAACCGCACAAGATTTCGAGGACTCCCCTGGGACCCAGGTCTTGTCTGGCGAGCACAGATTCTCATATTCCCGAGTCTTCGCGGCAGGCTGATCGTGAGATGGTCGATATTGGCCCTCAGTCTTACGAGCCCGCGTGGCGTTTTGTCGCTGACTCGGTAGCCGTTTTGGCTGAAGGTATTCCGCAGGTTTGCGAGGTTGGCGCACGCATCTTGGATCTCCACAGTGGAGCGCACGATTCTGGAGCATCGTCACACATCGGAGCAGGACAATTCATCCTTCCTGCTGGTCTCGCCTCTGGGATGCCCGCACGCTTGCCTGGCTCTCCTGGCAGCTCCTGCAGCCTCAGCCCTCGGCGCAGCTCAGCGTCCCTCGGCGGTAGTTCTGCAGCCGCCAGTGCGCGCGCTAGGTTAATTAGGTTTGCTCGTAGCCCGAGCTGACTTGTGACGCCGCTGTGCGCCTTCGCCTGCGGCTGCGATGGAAACCAACCCCACCAGCCCATCCAGAAACGATGCCCAGGGGAATCGAGGTGATTAGCGACGTGGGGGAGCATGCAGAAGAAAAGTGGGCGGGGGAAGCCGTCATATACCCCAAGAGGGGAGGATGGAGAAGGAATCGTCGTCGTCGTCGTCGGAGGAGGAGGAGGAAGAAGAGGAGGAGGAGGAGAAGGCGGAAGAGGAGGAGGAGCAGGGCGAGGACGAGGCGGACGAGAAGGAGGAGAAGAAGGCGAAGGAGGCATAATAGGGTACCTCGGGGATCTTCTTGAAGCCTCGTGTGGGGTCCATTGGGAGCCTCTTGGAGGCCCCTTGGGGCCGTCTGGGCGCCTCTTGGGGCGCCTCTTGGGGCGCTCTTGGGAGCTCCAGGGGTGATCTTGGGGCCATCTTGGAGGACATCGATCAAACAAGAGGGGAGCTTCAATTAGCCTCCCCCCTCGGGAGCACCGACAATCGCCTCCTGGACTCTTTTTGGGACGCTTTTGGGCGCTCTTGCGGCCGTCGTGGGGCTCTCTTGGGCCTCTCCAGACCATCTTGAGGACTCGGATGGCCATCGGAAGCGAAACGGAGAGAAGGGAACCATTGTTTATTTTCCGTAGGTTTACGCAGGATGTTGGCTTCTCGGGGGCCTCCTTGGAGGTCTCGGAGGCCTATTGGAACCGTCTTAGAACGTTATTGGGGCTTCTTGGGGCCTCTTGGGAACCATCTTGAGGCATCGTGCGCTATCATGAGCTATCCTGGAGCTCATCTCGGACTCTCAGGGGCCCTCTTGGAGCCATTTTGGGCCATCTTGGATGCTTCAGCGAGGACGCAGGAGGAGGGGTAAACCCTTCTCCGAAGGGGAAAAAAGCGGGTTGGCAGAGGAGCGTCTCTAGACCACCTACGCCCAGAGGGCTGGTGGGACTTAGACAGGCGTCTGACGGTCAAGCTCGTGGTCCCTTCGCTTCAGGTACGTGAGCTGCATCGTCCGATCAAGTTTTGTCAACTTTGAGTGTGTGATCGAGTTGCAAGTTGGTGGGCGCAGGTGCACACAGTGGTTTAGCAATTACTAGTGCACAAGCGCAATGCCAACGGTGCGAAGCAGCAGATCCGCAGTCTTCTTTGTGCAGCCGATCCGTGGTGGGAGATCTGGTTTTGGTCTTTGCAGAGTATCATCAAGGCCACCATCCCCGTCATGGAGCACCTCGAGGGGGGCGCCTTCGGACTCGCACGAAAGGCGCAGAGTAGAGCAGTCACGGGCAGCTTGATCGAGTTCCCTAGGTGGGTCAATGCTGCGGAGGCAACCGGTATTCTTCTTCGATCCCCAAGGGACGTGCCGGTGACGGCGGAGGAAGTCACCCTCAAGAGCGGCGAGACGATCTCTCATGGCGTCGACGCATCAATTACCGTGTCATCACTCAAGCAGATACGGGTCACGCCGCTGGATGTCCAACGGTTGCCAATGGCAGGGCGAGAGGAGTTTGTTGAGACGTTTCCTCAAATTGAGGAATCCATGATTTGGCCGTGACAGATTTTGGTTGTGGAAGGGCGTCTTGCACTCCTACAAGCGTCGGGGGATCGAGTGATAGGATTGATTTGCATGACGTCCGTGATTTGGTCCAAGACTCGTGAGTCCGTGATGAAGCCGTGGACGCAACAATCCAGTGAGAGTTGGGACGCGGCTCTGGCAGGTAACTCGGCGCTGATAGAAGCCTTTCAAGACGTTGTACGAGAAAGTCTACAGTGTGTTCGGAGTATCCTAAACGCGCCGATGGACATTCAGTCCTGCTACGATGTAGTGGAATGGGCCAGTCTAGTATACTCCGCACTCATAATTAGACTCGAGTTGCAGCTATGCGCAGCCCCGCGTGTGTTGTCGTAGATGGGCTCCACGTCCTGCGCGTTCGAGCCAGGTCGTTCGATCGCCAATGGGGCTTTGGAGCGGCACGCGCTTTGAGACATGTGCTACGCATGTGGTGCTCCAGGGGTTAGCGACAGTCAATTTGCAGCTACACTTGAAGATCCGGATTGATGACCTGAGTGTATCATCAGTGGGGTCGGATAAGCTTGTCAGTCGGGTCGTGATCAAAGCGGTCGCAGGCATTTTCAACCTTGGCTGCGGAGAATCTGCGAACGTTCTTCTGGCCACCAATCGCATGCAAACTAAATATGTTGTCGCTGCACTACGGAGGCGGAGACTGTACCTTCGATCTGCCCCTGGAACTGCCTTTCTTGGAATCGGCATGGAGGCAGGTTAGAGAGCAGCAAGAGCCGCGAGAGCCGGGGGGAATCATCGAACCAGGGTCAAGAACAGCACGTACATCGACATGAGGCAAGGCTTCGCGACAATATCAAGCGACCCCCCCTTCTGGAGAGTTGAGCAGGTCAGACATTGGCCAGGTACGGGCACCAAGTGCACAGTGCACCTGGCGCCGCGCTCTTTCGGCTTCGCAGGCATCTTGGTTCAGTTTGTGGATCCAGCAGGGGGGGGGGCGTGTTTGACTGCTGCCTTGGACGTGCGTGCTCCGCAGCAGGATCCAGCAGTCAGGTCGGGCAGAGATTGCCTTGCTGAGTGGCTGCGTATCTGGGCGGCGGCGAGTGGCATCAGGCCAGCCGCCGCACGATTATGGGATCATGTAGTCGCCGAGTTCAGCCAGAGGCAACGGGCTGGTCGGCCGCGAAGCGTGCTGGGACCTCTCTGTGCGGTGATCATTCTTCTGTTGCGGCGTGGTTGGCAGTTGCGCTGTCCATCGCATCGGCAGCGTGGCTCGCCAGAGGAGCCATAGTCCGATATCATCGAGTGGAAATTCTCGGGCGAGCTCATGACAGGCGACGAGGGCCCGACAGGCATCATGTCAGATTTCGCCGGTCCAGTGCGTGAGTTTTAATGTCATGATGCGTCAATTCACCATGCAGGCGCGGGTATTGCTGGGGTGTGGTGGGGTGGGTGGGTGGGTGGGTGGATGGGGTGGGTGGGTGCGGAGTGGGGGTGGGGGTGGCTGGGGGGTTGGTGTGGCTGGGGGGTTGGGGGTGACTGTGCTTCCTTGGGCCATGCTGCGTCGGTTACGTGCGGCGCCCAAGTGTGGGCCACGGGCTGCGGCACTTCCGGCAATCGCCCTTTGATTAGATTTGGCAGAGGTCGAGATTCGGAGGAGTTGATGTCGATCAGCAGTGGCGTTTCAAGAGTTTGGCAGATGGGGGGCGTCACCGTGAGACGCCATTCCAGATGTTCGGCGTGTCCTCATGATAAGGACAGTGAGGTTTATGCAGACTCTGACAGGTATTTTCCGGAGGCCGCGGCGCAGCGTGGACAGTTTGCGTGTTTCTGGCGCAGAGGTCTCTTGCCGTCATCTTGTCTCGCGGTTCCTGCCCCCCGCAGTGTCTCAGTCGTGGACTCCTGGCCCGAATTGGGACAGCGATGACATCGACGATGGCTTCACCATTCTGGCCACAGGCACTTGCGAGGAGCCACTCCTTGCGTGCGGGGGCGCGTCGGGGGGGGGGCCCGGCGCGCGGAGTCCGAGGTTTCCTGGAGATGGCGTGGGCGTTGCGCTAATCTCGCCGCGCGATCCAGCGGCGCTTGGAAGCGGCGGCAGAAGCGCGGAGTGCTTGCAGTTGCCGAACTCGTTGCGGGAGGAGCGCGGGATTCGCTCGCTCACCAGGCGGGCAACGGGGCATGCCAGACCAGTTTCGGCTCGCAGGTGTGTCGGGGGTCTCGAGATGCAGCATCTGGAGTCGACTTGTGGGCTTCGGTGGGGAGTATGATGCATTGCCAACGGGGTCCAGGAGTCGATGTCTTGTCCATGAATTGAATTCACCGCGCGTCTCGAGGCGAAGGCCTTGGAAACGGACGTGCGCCCTGGATGCTCGAGGGCAGCGAACGTGCAGACGTATTGGCAGGATCTGCTGCGCGCGCAGCTTAGGTGGATGAGGCGGACAGAATGATAGTGCTGCTTCGCGATCAGCGTGCGCGGGTTGTTCGGGGGGGGGGCGTCTCATCCGAGCGACCACGGATTGTATGATTGTTGACCCTCGGCCCAGGGATGCGATGGGAAAAAGCATTCGCCTGTTTCTTCCTGTCCGCCCCTGCCACAATTGCTCGTTTTTGTGCCTCTCACACATTGCGTGAGGATGGCCGCTCGCGTTCTGTTTGCAGAGGGGCCGCTTCCAAGCAAAAGCGACAGAGTGGCTGAAGTCATCTTGCTTTCCGTTTGTGTCGATGGACGTTTTAATGGCCCCCCCGGGTGGTTTCAAGGTCCACTGTACGAGGGGTTGGCTGCATTCCACGCGCGATTTCAGATTTCGCGGTGATCTTGGGCTCTGGTTTTGTGGGTCGTGTGGCGTTTACGCCTCCCGAGCCCTGCACAAATAAACGTATCAGGACACGCGCAGACCATTTACACATGATTGGGTGATGGGCCTGGCCGAATGGGTTCTCGTTATCGAAGTAACGAGCCAGAGGCCGCATCCCACATGTTTGTCGCTTCGCGAACTCACCATTTCCATGCCCATTCCCATTTCCATTACCATTTTCATTTCCTTCCCCCTCCTCTTCCTTCTTCTCTTCCTCATCCTCCTGCGTTCTGCTTTTCGCGCTCTGCGAGCGTGCCGAAACCCGATCGCCGCCCGAACGCCGCGACAGCGAGGCGAATGCGAGAGCCGCAGGGCAAGCGAGCAGGAAAAACAAGCGGGTTGGGCTGCTGAGGTTCGGGTTCGGGCTGCGGCTCGGATGGCATCTCAGGCTACAGCTCGGGGTGCGGTTTGGGCTTGGGCTCGGGGCCAGGCTGCAGCAAGGGCGGGCTGCCCAACGAACGAACGACCGAAGGCGAGGAGCAAGCGGACGACAGGCGAGCAACAAGAACCTAGCAACAGCGATTTTCTTGATCCTCCCTCCCCGGGGAGTTTCCTGTTGAATTGGCCGCCACAAAAAACAATCCCCCCCCTCTCTCTTTGAACTCCGAAGCCCGTCTCCTGATCCTGTATCCTCTTCCCCTTTCGCCTCCCCGTTGCCGATCCCTCTTCCCCTCCTGCTGCCTCCTGACACGTCCCCTTCCTGGGTAAGGGGGGGGGGGAAGGGCCTCAGGCCGCAACTGAGTCCCCCTCCCTTTCGGCACGCGCCGCAGTCTATCGTCGCGACGCACGCCGGCACGCCCATCCATGGCGTGACCGTCGACGACGTTTACACGGACCCCAAAGGGGAGGAAGAGGAGGCGGAGGAAGAGGAGGAGGAGGAGAAGGAGGAGGAGGAGGAGGATCACCAGGAGGAGGAGGGGGAAGTGGAGGACGAGGAGGAGGAGGAGGAAGAGTAGGAGGAAGAGGAGGGGGAGGGGGAGGAGGAGGAGGATGCGGCGGAGAAGGAGGGATCATAATCACAACAATAATACTATTACTAATGACATTCAATGTGTAATACTAGTTTTCGTATAAGTATAATTGGAGGAATATTATCAGCAATGCTAGAATCATATTACTCATGATCACCATCATAACACGTAATAAAACTACCAATGATACGAACATTAATAAACATACGAGTCATTTTCATATGGATTATCCTAATAACATTACTAATGATAATACTACTGATAATAATAACAACGGGTAATCGTGTTAGTGATACTACTAGTAGTACTAGACGTAGCATGCATCATACTAAGGATCATATGATCATAACAGGATGAGTAATATCAGCAAACATGACATTACGAGTAATAATATTCATCATCATGTTAACACATAATATAACTACTAGAAATACTAACACTAGTAATAATGCTCCTCATACTATTCCTGAAACGAGTCATAATACTAGTACTAATGCTAATGCCACTAAGGATAATAGGAGCAGATCGTTTCACTAAAACTAGTAACACTAACAATACCAATTCGACTACGACTAGTATCACTAACTATAGCACTACGACTAATACTAAGACTGTTACTAACATCTTTACTGCTACATGAAGTAGTAATAGTCGTACTACTATTGCTATTACTAATACTAAGACTACAAGTACTACGAATAGTAACACTACTACTAATACGAAGGATACTATGATTGCCACTACTACCCATACTGGTAAACATATAACCATTATTAATTTAATCGCTTCGCTCATTCCGCCGGCCCATACAGTCTCATGTCTGCCGTTTGCCCGAGGGCCTGGTGTCAATAATAGTCGTACTACTATTGCTATTACTAATACTAAGACTACAAGTACTACGAATAGTAACACTACTACTAATACGAAGGATACTATGATTGCCACTACTACCCATACTGGTAAACATATAACCATTATTAATTTAATCGCTTCGCTCATTCCGCCGGCCCATACAGTCTCATGTCTGCCGTTTGCCCGAGGGCCTGGTGTCAATGCGGCGCTTTGGGGGTTCTTTTGCCAGGCGTCTCGGGAACCTCCTGGAGGCAGTGTTGAAGCCTCTTGAGGCCCCGTAGGGCCGTTTGGGGGTCGTTGGGGCTTCTTGTTGGGCTTCTTGGGTGGTTCTTGGGGCGTCTTGGGGGACTTATTGGCGGGATGTTGGTGGCTTCTGAGGTGCTCCTAGGGGCAGAATCCCCCTTCTTGGGCGGTCTTGGTGCTCTCTTGTGCCGTCTTGGGGTTATCTTGGGCCGTCTTGGGCCGATTTTAGCGGATTGTTGGGCTGTCTCGGGGCGATGTTCGCGGCACTTGTGAACGCTTCTGGACAGTGCTTTTTGGGCAGGTTCTTGACGCTTGTTGCAAGTCTGTAGGGGCCCCGTTGGGAGTCTACCGAAAGGAGAGCACATTGTAGCATCGCTTGCACTTGCTTGCGTGCTCGGGGGGGCATTTGGGGGGCTTCCTGGGGCCGCTTGGGGGACTCTTGGGGGCCTCCTGAGGGCCTCGTGAGGGCCTCTTGGGGCCTCTTAGGGGCCTCTTAGGGCCTCGTGGGGGCTTCTTAGGGCCGAGGGCTCGAAATGTTGTTTCGTGTTCCCTCTCTGGGGCCCCTTTAGGGGCGTTCTTGGGGCCCTTTTGGACCGTCTTGGAGGCTTCTTGGGCCGTCTTCGAGCCCTCTTGGGCCATCTTGGGGCCCTCTTGGGGGCCTCTTGGGCACTCTTGGGGCGATCTTGGGGGCCTCTGGGGCCGTCTTGGGGCGTCGGGAACCGAAAAGGTGGAAGCTCCAAAATCTTTCAAAAACCTAAGGAAAAACAATGAATTTTGCCTCCGGGGGCCCTCTTGGGAGTGCTCTTGGAGGCCTCTTGG